TGGAAATTGGCTAGGTACAGGGTACGGGTACGGGTACATGTGAAGGGCACGTTTTGGGGTGCAAGTGGACATGGGCTAGGTACAGGGTACAGGTACGGCATACACTCGAAGGGGTACGCTTTGGGATGTGATTGAGACATTTGGAATGTGCTTTTGGGTCACTAGGTTTAGGCTTAGCGGCTTAGGATTAAGTTTAGGCTAGGATTGATTTTTTTTTGCTGGGAGCCGGAGCACATAGCTGTATGCCTTAGCCTTAGCTTAGAATGTAATCAGTGTGTGTGAGCTTTGGCTTTGACAACCAGTTGTGTTCTTTAAATCAATAATCTGTGAGCTAACTACTAACACTTGACTGTTGGTGTGTGCCAAACAAGCCTGGCCTCACGCGGATTTCAACTCAGCACCACCAGCAAAAGCTTGTGGTGGGGTGCGACCATGTCCATTGCTCAAAGGGTTGCCAATGGAATCCTCGCACATATTCCCCGGATTGCTATCCCTTGTGCTCGGAGAGTGCATACCGTGCACAGCAGAATGGCTCTTGCCCGTGCAGGCAAGGAAAATTGTTGCCAGTGGCCATGTCACACGCTACCAGTTGCCAGCAATATCACCAAGGATATGAACTACAAAGGCTAAGTGTTATATAGTAGAATATGCTATGTTGAAGGATGTAAAAGGGGGAGGGGGCAGGGCACAGCATCAAATCGACTTGCAGGCAAGAAAACTGCTCGAATGCAGGCTGCTTTCCAGAAGAAGCTTGGAGGGATCAGGACGAATATGGTGCGTTTTAGTCTGAGTCGGAGTTTAAGTTCTCAGTTCTATGGTCAGTGGCGGTCAGAGTCACAGCCGAAAGTCCTGGTGTCATTGACGTGGAGGACAAAGCTGCAGAAGTACAACGACGAGTTCGTGGTTCGCAAATGCGACAGCATTGATGTTGACAATCCACTGCAAAAGAAAATTAAAGGGAAGGGTCTTTTCCTTAGTGCTTGAAAGCATCGTCATCAGCAGAAGCAATATCATTGCGCAGTTGCAGTTGCAGCAGTGATTGACATAACAATATAAAAGTCAGTATTTCATAGTCTAGTCATCACTAGTCAAGTCTGATCAGTCAATAGTCTGATGTCAGTCTAGGCTCTTAGACTCTAGTCTATACTGTATCCACATATACGTATACGTACACAGTACTTTCTCCAAAAGCACAGGTCAATGGCGTTGCTGGTCTTCTGAAGCGATGCTGAGATCAGCGTTTGACCCTAAGCGTTTTGCAGTTGCAGCCTGAACGTGTATATATTATATAAATATGAATTACAAGATTTGAGTTTGAGTGGCATGGGCATTGTCATTGGATTGTTTTTGGAATGACTCGACGTGGAAATCAACTAATACGATTCCAATCCAATCATCAAGTTAAGTCATCAAGTGTTTATTCTTTACTGAGGCTGGGGCGTTCTGTACATGGTTTGATCTCCAGTATGAGCAGAAAGAGGAAAGGCCAGCTGAAATCTTCCAAGCGATTGCCACGACTACCCTCCAAAAGTCCTACTATGTTTCTTTTCAAGAGCCTTTATTATTGCACAGAACTTGGTGTCCAGTTCAGTTACGTTAGGTGATGATATGTGGATGTTGGACAATGATGCTCATGCGCCAAGGTTTTCATTGAACTCTTTAGCTTATTGGATGGGTGCATCTGCAAAGACGATATCACAGGCTGGTCTTTGTCTCTATTCGACTGGGGGGCGGGTAACTAGTTTCCAGTCAGAGTCAGGCTCGCAATGCTTTATGCCACTTCTACCTGCAGAAACAGAAGTCCAGAGTTGGAGCCATTTTGGAGGACATCCAAGTCCAAAATTTCAAAAAGGATGCAATTTACAACTTCAGCAGTCGCAGGAGAAACCTACAGTCATCGGCGCCCAGATAGAGTTCGATGAAACTGGACAAATGCTTCGGACCACAGATCACTTTATTGGAATTCAATCCACTATGAACATCATGGTGTCTAGTCTGGTGTAATTATGGGCCATACGGCCATATGTGTTTCTTTTCATTTTCGAGTGAGTGGGCAGGTTGGGGTGTGATGATTCCTGAGAATCGAGGTATCTCGCACCACACTGTTTGTGAAAAATGCAAACAGAATCGACCATGCCTTTGTTGCGGACTCAGTTCAACAACTCACTCAACAATCCCAGTTCAAGCACTCACTCTCTACCGCACGTGAATCTAAATCTAAAAATGAAATAAACATGATTAAACTGACATGCCGCCCTTTGCTCAGGTGGTCAATCCTCCGGTAGCTCTTCAACGGACAACGGCTAGCTGCATTCAGAAGGGTCTTCAAAGTGTGTGCGTGGTAGATCCGCTATGCCTTTTGCATGCACAGGGGTGTGAGGTTCAAGTTCAAGTTGTTACTGTTATGTTATGTGATGGTTTGTCAAACGCATTGAAGGCAGTAAGTAAGCAAGTAAGTAAGTTAAGGTCTTGCTGACCATTGTGGGCAAATGGCTGTCCTATGTTTTGTTTGCGATGGTGCCACATCCAATCTCTGCATGATGGGCCGCATTGCAGCTACTCCAAATCCGACCAACAACCTTCTGGCAGAGGGCTTGGTGTGTCAGTTTGGCGGCCGCGCATTGTTCAGTTTTCAGGTATTCACTGCAACATTCAGCAACAGTCTTATTAATGATCATGATGTAAAGCTGATTCCGAAATTGAGGTCTTGCGACAAGGGTGCCTTTTGCACGCGCCCTAGTTTTTTGTTACATGTGTCCAGCAGGAAACATCTGAAGCCACCGGTCAATTGAGTGTGATGACCAGGCATGAGAGCAACCATGTTACTGAAATAGCACTGAAGACGATTGGAGACCTGGCTGACATGTGTTCTGGTCTGCAAGCAAATCCGTTTGGAACATGTCAGTCGTCAATTGTCAATTAGAAAAACAAGTAAGTAGCTGCAGCTTCAATCTATCAATCAACTATCAGCTATCCTTTGACTCGACAACCGTGGCAAGCCTTTGCTTCTGCGCCGTTTGAGGTTTTGCTTTTCTTCTCTGCTGACAAAGGGGACCACATACTATGATTTGTTGACCAGTTGTCAGAAATGGCTCATGAAGAATTTGGAGATATCATATGACCCGTCATGTCCTCAAACGGTTGGAGTTGTTTGCAGCACTACCTCAGTGGCAACTGGTAACGCATATGATTTGAATTTGCCTATGCCTACGGTCAGGCCAAAGAAGGAACACCAGGACCGTTCGAGGCAAATCCTGAAGGAATGTCTTCAGAAGTGCAACGCGATTGGAATAGTTTTGAGTTCAGATGTCGAACTTGTTGCTATGGTCCACTGATAACAGCCAAATGCTTTGTGTTTGGCTTGGCAAACGTTTCTATATGTTCTACCTTCTTGTTGTATAGATTTTTTTGAACTATTGAACGGCTATTGGCTATTGACGTAATGCGCACAACAACTTAACCGCAAAGCAGCTGCAAAGCGAGTTTGATTTCTTCTACTCTACTTTGCTGACCTTGTTTACTCACTGAGCCATCAGGTCCTCGTGCTGCAGAAGGGGATGAATCAAAGCGAGATAGCAAATCAGTCGAAATCCTCTTACAGCTTTTGAACGGGGTCTGCTACTCAGTTGCTGCTGTGACACAAACCAAGACATGACTCTCAATGGATACAACTACTGAGGACTGGCGGAAGCACCGGCCAGTCCACCATTGTTCTTTGATGTGTCCATGTGGGGGAACGGGCAAAGAGAAGACTGGTTACATCCTAAGGAAAAAACAGCGCAAACAATTTGCAACGGCAAATGCATTTTTGTAAAAAGACTGATTTGATTATTTGAGTGATTATCAATGATTGATTGGCTGATTGAACTGGACCTGGACTGACTGACTAACTGAAGATATATCTTGGTAGAATTAGTCAAGGCCTCCAGATTTGGCTCTCCGTTCTGGAAGTGGTGTGTGGGGCTTGGCTGTGGCTGTGTCTGTATGTTTGAAGCGGGGGTTGGATTTCTTTCTTTTTGGCAGTTCCGGAAATATATTGGACTCGAGCCTTTTGATTCACATCGCGGTTTACTTCATTGCCATGATCGCTTCGATAAGGTTTCACCGCCGACCAGCAATACCAGTTCTATCTAGATGGACGACGACTGGGGATTGCGTGCGCTTTTTTGCGTTTGGTTCTGAGCGTTTGTGTTTGCAAATTGCAAATTCCAAACAAAGTCAGTCTCAAAGCACATTGCGCCTAGCTCTCAGTCTTGCAACCTGCCTGCACAACATACTACCGCAAGCTTGGTTCTGTCCTCAGACTTCTTTCTTCTGATCAGATTCAGATCATTATCTTACAGCTTACAACTTGCAACTACAACCCGGGTCACAGTTCGATTCTTATAACTTATGGCTTTACGGGTTTGCAGCAGTTTGCATCAGGAAAGCCATGTTTGTGGAGCCAACGAGGGGCAAGTCACGGACTATCCGCGCCAATGCTTTGGAGCCAATTTCTGGGTTGGACTCATCCCAA